CTTATTGGGGAGCATGGAACCACCGATTTTGCTGGGATACTCCTTCGCTATTATGTGGCTGAAGGTCTAGTACAAGGCCATCAGATCCATGTGCTCGGCCTACACGAAGGCTGGCGTGCAGAATTGCCAGGGCTCTCGACCGAATCCGGCTCTTCTCATAAGTCGGAAGCATCTTCAACGGACAAGATGAAAATTGCTTGGCGATATGAGAGCTTAGGATCCGCGGGGGTTGCGAGAGGTATGCGCGTTTGATTTGTCCATGCGCTGATCGACCGTCAACTTACACATCTATTAGACAGGGAAGGGCAGCGAGGCAAAGGTGTGTCTGAGTCCGGCGCTACTGCAATCTTCTGCCATTCATTTGATCTTACAAAACGTCTATCGACTGGGGATGTGAAGGGGCAGATTGCCTTCTACCAATCTATGGCTATTCCACGTCCTGGAACTCAACAGATGTCACCATTGAAGCAATTTATCAAAGATTTGTCAATAAAGCTGGTTAATTCTCCGCCGTCATCGATTCATCGTGTCATAGTTCCCAGTCTTTTGTCCCCGACTATGTACTCGAGCTTGTCTTCTCTTCCCCAGGAGGTGTTGCAATTTGTGCACGCCCTAAGAGCCTTGTTGAGACAATATCCCAGGACCCTAAGCGTCGTTTTGACGATACCTCTTTCGCTCTATCCGCGGACAACGGGCCTCACACGGTGGATAGAGTTGCTGTGCGACGGTGTGCTGGAGTTTATACCACTACAGTCTACAACAATTCACAAACCCCCGCCGTCTTCCAAAGGTGATGGAAAAGATGATGAGAAAGTTCAGGGCTTGATCAAAGTGCACAGCCTACCGATTTTCCATGAAAAAGGAGGAGGGTCGCATTCAGCGCTAGACGATCAGTCCTTCAGCCTAAGCCGATCAAAAGGCCTGATTATCAAGCCTTTCTACCTTCCACCAGCTGATGATGATGAGAATGGACCCAAAGTGGATGATACCAGCAAGCCCAGTATGGATTTCTAGGTGGTGTGCAAGAAGGTTCACGGGCGCAGGTTTTTATATGCGATAATTGCATAAAGCGAAACGAGGCACACTAAAAATTTGTCTCCACTATTACAAGCCCAAAAATTTTACTGCAATCTCGCGTCGAGCTTGTCTCTAAATTCTTGCAACATCCATAGCATAACAACAGGTGAGTCAACAACATACCCTTCGCCCTCTCGGTACAATGATTATATCTCATCAATATCTGTCAATCCACTGAATTAACATTCTGTTGATAACATCTATATCTGGTTTATGATTGTATTTCTGCTCTCACTGTCGTGGCTTCACAATCACTGCGCGAAGAGATGAACTAACAATATTCTCGACAGATCAGCCGCTTACGTGATAATGGCTTCTGCTGTATCTCCTGCACACCCTATGGTGAGAATCTCTAGGGTCGCCGGAAGGTACCTGCTCTTCGACATAGATGATGTGATGTATCTGCGCAGGAATTACAATATATGTTCCGTCTTCGTAGGGACCATCCCCCAAAACCCTCAGCAGAATGTTTTCATGGGCCTGCCCTTAGAACTCATGCCTGAAGAAGCGCAAGTTCTAGTCGAAAAGAATGCAGCCTACATTGCTGACGATTCAACATTCCATCCGGCTCGCTTAGCGGCTTTTGATGAGCCGTCGCGACGGGCGTACGTGGAATCGCTCAAAAATCAGGGTAAGAGGATGCAGATGGCTGTTATTGAAAGCAACAGTCGCAATATTATCAAATCACAAGGAAAGTCAAAGAAAAATAAGAGGCAAAAAGGATCAGAAGGCTCATCCACTACTGATATCGACGGCGGCGGTGGCGATGACGATGCGGATAGTAGCACAAGGCTATTTGACCCGGCCCCCATACCTCAGCAGCCAGCCAAATCACCTGAAGATATTGAGGGGTATATACTCACCCCAACTACTAGCAGCTTCCTCTTGCCGTCTTCGTCAAACCCAGCGATACAGCCCTCGGTTCCGGTGGACGTTCCCGTATCTTATCCCCTTTTTGCGCACCTGCACGATAAAGGTTATTATATGATGCCTGGTCTCCGTTTTGGTTGCGACTACAATGTATATCCGGGAGATCCTTTGCGCTTCCACAGCCACTTCGTCGCTGTTCACTTTGGCTGGGATGAAGAAATCACAATGATGGACCTAGTAGGAGGTGGGCGGCTTGGTACTACTGTTAAGAAAGGATACCTTTTCGGTGGGGCTATAACTGATGGATCGAGCCTTGAAGAAAATGGCAATGCCCAGGTTAGATCACGAGATGAAGAGGTGGAACAGCCTCGGCTCAGCACCAAGTCCGTGGCACCGCCAGTCAGGACCTTCTGTCTAGAATGGGCAGGCATGTAGCGACAAGCTAAATGATATCAACTATTGCCTTTATGGGCACTATTCTTTGCGTGAAAATCTATTGCAATGAGAGACACGATGGTGTCGTCTTAGACAGCTTACCCTCCTCCAGAAACCGTATGAAGTGGGGTTAAACTTAGAACACTGCGGCACAGGAGCATCACAGAGCGGGAAGCTCCCGTAAATTTGGTCAGCACTTAAAGTTAACGCGACCAAACTACCGAACAGATTCTCCAGGCTGGTATACTCTGTTCGGTAAATATTTAAACTGAGGCGAAATCATTCTGATTATATGATACACGTAGATAAGTACTCTCCATTTGTCACTCTTACCTGGTTCTAAGTGTAGCCAAGTGATTTGATTGGCTGTGTACCTGTCAGATGTAGATGCGCAATCATGTTTTATCCAGGGTCCTGGGCTGCAGGGATCTGATCTAAATCGATACGACGTCATCACCATCAATTCTGGCTGGCAACCCTGACGGCCGTCATTTGATCTTGTCACATTGTTTCCAAATCAAAATCAGGGCGGATTCCTCTCCAAGTGCAGTCTTGCCAACTACCTCAAAAATACCCAACAACAGCAAATTTGACAGAAATGTCCGAAGATACGAAAACCACATCAAAAGTTGACGCCGCGGAGGTCCTCTCTATCCACGATGTTGCCCCCCCGCCAGTGGAGGCAGACTACGTGAATCCGGCAGAAAAGACTCCCCGCTGGCTTCTTGGCGCCCATGCATATACCCTCCGTTTTCTGGCTGGCATCGGTTTCAAGATTGGCAACCGGTCAGGCCTTCCCACCGTATCTCCTACAGAAACAATATGGCTGGATACCACACTGAGCAAGTGGAAGGGCAAGCAGACGATCAGCGCGAACGTATGGCGCCCGCTGGACAGCCTGCAGCCATCAAGTGCTGAGAAAAGGCCAGCCATCATCAACTTCCACGGCGGCGGTTTCATCCTCGGCTATGGAACAGACGACTCGCGGTGGGCCGAATCACTCGTGAACAACTTAGGCGCCGTAGTCTTTTCGGTTAACTACCGTCTTGCTCCCAGCTATCCATTCCCTACGCCAGTAGAAGATTGTGTGGACGCTATACTGCAGATTTTCCAACTCGCGGACCGATATAACATTGACACGGAGCGCATCATCCTATCTGGTTTCTCCGCCGGTGCGACGCTGGCTACAAGCTCCTGGATCGTCTTACAAGACCCTACGAGGTGGGACTACGAATTACCAACGTCCGTACCCAAGATTGCCGGCATCGTGCTCTACTACCCTCCGCTCGACTGGACGCTAGACAGGCCGCAAAAGCGGAAAGCTTGCGCACGGCCAGATCTGACGCTACCGAGCGGCCTGACGGACCTGATCGATGCATCATATGTGCACCCTCCGCTTCCGCGGCGCGAACGGACGGACATACGGCTGTCGCCGGGGCTGATGTCCGATGAGTTAATAGATCGACTACCGCCCGTCCACCTGTGTCTCTGTGAATACGACATGCTCCTCGCCGAGGGCAAGCTCTTTGCCGAGAGGCTTGAAAACCGTGGGAAAACGGTCAGCACCCGGGTGGTAGAGGATGAAAAGCACGCTTGGGATAAGCCTCTACCTTTGAGCCCGAAGAACACTGTCTCGTTCGAATATGACATTGCGATAGCTGCTATTAAGAGCTGGTTTGGTGAGGCGCAAGAAAACCTACCTGCTCCCGAGGGAGTCTGAGGCGAGACTCTTTCCACAGAGGCGGCAAACGCAAATGGAATGACGGTGCATGGAGACGGGCGCAGCTGAGAATGGCTCGAAGACCCTACGAAGATCAAGTCACAGCGGACGCATCCCCTTCAGCATACGACAGCACTGGCTAGTGAATACGATGACCTCAAGCCCCACCACCACTGGAATGGGATATTCTGGGCTTGAAGCTCTAGGCATTCTTTGGTATAACGCCCCGAGTGAGGCAGTTCGAAGATCCTTGGCGAGCGAGCGAGCGAGCACCTATAAACGCAGGCGACCTACATAATACTCTCATTCGGAGCTACGATTCGGGCACGAGACACATTACCTACCTTGAGAACTTGCAGTCACTCTAGGGGCATATACTCTGGCTATCCTCTATTAATAGGAGGGGGTCCAGTCGTGTTCTTCTGTGATTCTTTCATATTTACATCATGTATGATTCGGTATTCACAGAAGGATTGGGTAAGCCCAGCAATAACCCGAGCTATGAGTTACGTTATGTTAGCGTACTAGGTAATCTAAGCCCATGAATAAAGAGATGAGGAAGAGACCATGTACTGTATAGACATCCAATATCTGGAGGCTTTCGACAGAAACGGACATAGAAATGAGCACAATAGTACATACATAACTTTGCCTGTTGTGTTTTATGGGATTCCTGTGTTCGACAAAGGAAACAATAGTCTAAATCGTACAAGATACCCTATAATATAATACCGTATGGATGCGTGTTATTGGTGTGGTTTGGAATGGGCCCGTACTTTTCCAACACTTAAGCACTATACTCCGTAGGACTTATATGTGGCGAAGCGCTGAGCCGAAGCCAATCCGGCCCCCGCTACGCTGTAATAAAGAAAAGAGCAAAAATGTTTGCGAAAAATTGAGCTGTGGCCCGGGTTCGAACCGGGGACTCGGGAAATTTTGATGTTTGAACAACGGTTCGTCAAAATCCCACGTGCTTACCACTACACTACCTCAGCCTGTAAAGCTTAGAGTGAACATTCTTTTCGTGTTGAATCAGCTCGCCGATAATTTGACTCATAGTCGCCGGTTGGGTCTGGGTCCCGGCGACTGTGAAGCTCGCCCCACTACTTACCATAGGACATAATTATCAACAGATTACACCTAAACAAACATGGCCCAACAACTCGAACGCAAAGGTCGAACGAAATGAGGCAAAAAGAGAACGAATAAACGACCTGCAGCTGGTAAGTACACCGGGACATATTTGTGCCCAAATCCTGCCGACGCACCCGGGGCCCTCCCTTCACTAACTAATACGGTACGACGCAAGCCCACCCGGTCGGCGGTTCTCGTTTTCCCACCGCCGGCGGGGCAATCCATCGGGGGCAAAATAGAGGGTAGGTGTTGGCGGGGTACGCGTGGGAGGACTTCGCGCACACCGTCTCCGCGCCAGCCGATGGCGCCATCGTGCATTCATCCAGTTTACCTATCCAGTACTGTACTACGCAAACGAAGGTACGCTAGAGACGGGTAATTATCACACGTCTTTTTGCTCCGATATCGAAACGTTGGCTTTCGCGGTAGGGAGAAAATCCACTCTATTTTGACCAGAACCGGAGATACGTCGCCCACTTACATAGATACTCAGAGTACTTAGTCCTCACTTCTTCTTATCGTGAGCTGCATGTACGAGTCGATGTTTAACTTCTAAGGCGAAGCAGGTCGCTATAATTACTTATATTCAAGATACATGCCCCTCCACCACCACCTTCACCACAGCCTACGCTCAACCTCCATCCACCGCACGCTTCGCACCTTCGTCTCCATCTGCCGTCCTCGGCCAACTTCTGCAACAAGACCTAACACGCCGTTGTCCTCATCTCCAACACACAGCGTCCTCCAACTCATATCGCGCACCATGTCCTCAGCAGTAGCCAAGCGCCTCGCGGGCAAGACGGTGGTGATCACGGGGGCGTCGTCGGGGATCGGGCGCAGCACGGCCTTCGAGTTCGCGCGCACGGCGGCTCCCGCCGGCGGGCTCAAGCTCGTGCTTACTGCGCGTCGCGTCGATACGTTGAAGAAGATCGCTGCTGATATCCTTGCTGAGGTTGGGGAGAACTCGGGTGTGAAGGTTCTTCCTGTTCAGCTCGATGTTAGCAAGCCGGATGAGGTCAGGGGTTTTGTAGATAACCTGCCGGAGGAGTTCAGGGAGGTCGATGTGCTGGTGAATAATGCGTGAGTGACTTGGCTTCTTTTCCTCCTTTCGCTTTCCTGCGTCATTGTGCCTTTTGGTCTATCTACGCTTCAATTTTGATCCTTCAGTCAAAACTAGAAAGAGAGAGGAGAGGGGGACTGGGGGATTATCCATATTTCCAGTCAAGTTACATCATGCTTCTGCAAAAAAACCAGAAAGCTAACGAAACCTCTCACCTCCACAGCGGTCTCGTCAAAGGCCTCGCGCGCGCGCCCTCGATCGCGGAAGAGGACATGGAGGTGATGTTCCGGACCAACGTGACCGGCCTGATCAACATGACGCAGGCCATCCTACCCATATATATGCGGCGCCCCGACGGGGGGCGCGGCGACATCATCAACATCGGCAGCATCGCCGGCCGCGAGCCCTACGCCGGCGGCAGCATCTACTGCGCCACCAAGGCCGCCGTCCGCAGCTTCACCGACTCCCTCCGCCAGGAGCTCATCGCCTCGCGCGTGCGTATCTTGGAGATTGATCCCGGCCAGGTCGAGACTGTACGTTTCTTTCTTCTCTCCAACTCTCGTTTTGTGGTGGTGGTGGTGGTGGTGATAGCTGCTGATTGTGTCGTAGGAATTCTCCGTTGTCCGATTCTATGGTGACAAGTCCAAGGCTGATGCCGTATATGCGTAAGTTTTTGCTATTTGTTCCTGCAATTGGGCTTGTACATGACCGCTGACCAAATTCTAGCGGCTGTGATCCTTTATCTCCTGACGACATTGCTGAGGTTGTTGTCTTCGTTGCCGGCAGGAGAGAGAACGTTGTGGTGGCCGATACCCTCATCTTCCCCAATCACCAGGCCGCTGCCGGTGTTATGCACAGAAAGTCATAGAGAGGCTATAAATTTGCTATTGTATTCATCTTATAGACATTAAATAAACAAAGTTTGCAGCATTTGGAAGCCGCATCGGTAATTTATGTCTGTAATGCTCTTCGAATTGCATTATATGACAAGCCATCTACGTAGTATTACAGCGCAACTTACCAGTATATCTCTACGGTATCTGAGTATCGCTTTACGAAAGGCGGCTAGATGCGAATCGATGCGGGCGAGCCGTGAAGTTCTATAGTCCACGGTTAGCGATGCTACGTTACTTGCTGCATTGGAAATATAGTAGCATGCCACATTATAGTTCAGCAAACCAGGTTACTCATTCACATGTGTCGGCTTCCCATCTTCTTACCTCAAGACGAGACGCAAAGATGGGAAACACGGAAGCCAACATGACACTTCCAATAACCCCAACCCGAGGTTAGAGCAATTGAGAGAAAACTCCACAACCGATCATCATCGGCCCAGAAGGACCGACTCCGGTGCGGGAGGGTGGCTCGACCCAATAGTGAGATAGTTGAATGGATAAACAGTTTTCATCATGATAACAAATAATACAAACGAAGTGAAGGCGACTTACCATCTCGGGATTATGTATGGAGATGTCTAAGGAGACATAGTTATGATGGCATCTAAGGGGATCTGGAAAGGTCAGTGGATCATTCCATCGCATGTTTGGTCAAGCAGATTTGATTGGAATTGTTGGGTCAGAGTAAGTTTTTGGTATATGGGTATCTTCATCTGTTTCAGAAGCAGAACTGAATGATGTAGGTCTCATCATTAAAACAAAATGGAACGGGTATAAGAATCGGTTACAACTCACCAGCTGGTTGGAGTGTTATGAAAGGCCAGGGAGATATCCTTGGTGAATTCCTGGTACTACTAAACTTAAGGTCAGCTGCTGGCTTCGAAAATTGGCTTCAGCAAAACGCAGCTAGGACAGTGCTTCAGATGGTAGTGCATGTTTAGTTCAGTGCGCTCAGGAAATCGCGAGAACTGTGGAAACAATTTCATCAACAGCGAGGGAGAGGGCGTGGGTAAAGATGCGTGATCGTGCGAATCGGGTGTTGACGGTGAGCTTCGCTTACCTTTACTCTTACCGTCTGCCATCACGGTCATCCGGAATAGCAGAGTCAATGAGATCGGTCTCTAGCTAATCCTAGCCTTTCTATCAACTATACCGTTGAAATGGCGTCCATAGCTGCTCCCAGATGCTTGATGCGCATGCATAGCAGGTGGCAGAAGGATAATGAGGGATGCAAGATGAGGTTGCAAAATTCTGCTGGATCAAATTTAACTGGAAAGATTGGGAGGTCGACGAGTGGAGCTAGGGGATTGGCGCTGGTAGGTTCCTACCTTAGTGGGGGCAATCGATAAGATCCCTTGATTAGCTCTAATGTATTATGCGTAGAGCTTCAAAGTTCTGAGTAACAGCTGCTTCCTTCTACAATTCACGATTCTTCACATCCGGGCCGCCATGGCTGATCGTAGAAGGATCAACGGTCCGGCTGGCGCGACTCTGCCTCCTGTTTATGACAGCCCTCCTCCGCCTCGGCATGCCACGGAGAAGCCTGAGAATGCCATTCGCAAAATCTGTACGTAGCAAGCTCCAGCAGCACTGTCCTGTGCGACATTCCCTTCGCTAAACTGCCGAGCATAGTTCTGAAGACTGGCGTCACTCCGTCGGCTTCTGGTTCTGCGTATCTCGAGCTCGAAAACCCCAATGCGACTGGTCCTAGCAACACGAGCCTCAAGTTGACGTGCACTGTCCATGGCCCACGAGCTCTCCCACGATCTGCGCCCTTCTCGCCTCACATCATTCTGGCCACTCATGTCAAATATGCACCGTTTGCGACGAAACAGCGACGCGGCTACCTACGTGATTCGAGCGAGAGAGATCTTGGTGTGCACTTGGAGACCGCACTGCGGGGTGCCATCATTGCGGACCGGTGGCCTAAGAGTGGTGTTGACATCATAGTAACGATCATAGAGGGAGATCAAGACCGCCATGCGCCTGAAAACCAACGCGACGGCGGCTGGGATACGATGAATGTGCTGAGCGGTTGCATTACGGTGGCCTCGGCTGCCATTGCCGACGCGGGCATCGATTGCGTTGACACTGTCGCCGGCGGTGTCGCAGCGCTGGTCGCCAGAGACGCAACAAGCCCACCAACCATTGTCCTCGATCCGGCTGTCGCTGACTACCATACTATCTATGCGGCCTGCTGCATTGCTTACTTACCGACACGAGAGGAGGTCACAAATATCTGGTTTAAGGGCCAACTGCCCGGCGCCGATGTTATGCTGTATAATAATATGGTCGAGCGGTGTCTGGTTGCATGTCGCAATGCTAACCATGTCGTTGTCGCAGCTCTGAAACAGGCTGCTAATGCCCACCACGAAGCATCGTGAGACGGCGCGTTTTGGCGAATGACTATTCAACTCCCCGCAGACGCGCACTTTCTGGTTTCACCAGGTATAAAGCATACACAGCCAGCGCCCAACAAGTCTGAGACAAAGCTAAGACAATCTACAGATATGGACCGCGGGCGGAAGGCCAGCCGGTATTATCGACATCGCGAAGCACAGAATACCTGCAGCGCAGTCATCTAGTATTGGTATACAACATTAGGTGTATGTGGTGCTTGTCGACGGCTATCGTCATTGACGTCTGGCTTCCGAACGGACGGTGGTGTATAAATGGAACTAGACATGCGGTTTCGATTCCAAACCTGCCCAATGAAGCTGCGGTGGCAAGTACTATGTAGCAAGACACCATGAGCCATGGAGAGATGCTACGTAGATTACGGAGTAGACCGACTGATCTAAGGACCGCAATCGGATGCGGTGAGGACAGCCTGCTTGGGCAGGCCAGTTTCACTCTACCAAAGATGGCCTCAATGTGGCCGGGCAACTTACAGTACAGTACATTA